GGGAGACCAGGAGAAGCACCTGGCTCCTGGCTTCGGATCAGCGCAGTGCACCAGCCACAGCAGCCATTGTGGGGTGAACCAACGGAAAAGGAAGACCTTTCTTCTCAGTATCCCTTTTCACTCACGGTTCGATTCTGCCTGTTCAATAAAAAAATTAGGAAAAAAGATTTGCAATACCCTGAAAACTCTATCTTGCCATGATAACTACATGGTGATGACCTGGATAAAGGAAAGTCCAAGTAATCCCTAAGTCTCACCTTAATCTGGAGGGTTGAATTACCTGGGGGTAGAGGGGAGCGTGGAGGGGGACTATTTTTCTAATCCAAATTTCAAAATGGAGAAAGTAAATCATCTTCAAATTAATCAAATTTGGAATTCCTAAGCATTAAGAACCCCCATCTAATTCCTTAGTCTGATAAATGTGTACATGGGGCCCATTATATAAATGCTTCTACTTTTGTCATGTATTTGAAAATGTCATAATAAAAAATTTTAAATCCACTTAAGAGTGGCAGCATCCTTCTATTCCCATATTATATGAATATCCAAACCAAATAATTTTCACTTCTGTTGCTATCCATCTTGGCTATAAATTATATTAATAATTAATTTATTATATCTGTTAAATATTTTTTCACTTATTTCTGATAAATATGTATATACATGTACAAGGGCACTTCAAAAAGTTCATGGAAAATGGAATTAAAAGATAAGTTTGGATTGAGTGTTTGGCCTAGCAGTAAGACATTGGTTGAGATATCTGCATACCAAATGGAAGTTCTGGGTGCGGGTTCCAGCTCCATTCTCAATTCTTGCTCCCTGTTAGTGCAGACCCTAGGAGGCAGCAAGTGATGGCTCAAGTAGTTGGGTCCGTGCCACCCACGAGGGAGACCTGGGTACAGTTTTCAGCTCCTGATTGTGCCTGGCCCACCCCTGGATGTTGCAAGCATTTGGGAGTGTGAACCCTTACATGAGAGTCTCTCTGTCTCTCTTTCTTTCAAATAAAATAAATAAATAATTTTAAAGGATATGTTTATTTTGGTGCAAAATATTTTGAAATCCAAGCATAGTGTTTTCACAGTATGCGTTTTCCGTGAACTCTTTGAAGGCTGCTTGTATGCATAAATTCCAAATTTTTGCACCAAATAAACTTAAGTTTTAATTCAATTTTCTCTGAAATTTTTGAAACACCCTCAAATGCATGTCCATGTAGATAGAAGACCATGCATATAGACATGAAAATGATAGGTAAATAGATAAATAGATAGATCCATCTATGGTAATGCTGGAGAAATTGCCCAGAGCTAAGGCGTGTGTGGTCTGTGTATCACTGCTGTGCAAATTGGAAAACCCTTTGGAAAAATAATTTTGTAAGATCCATTTATTTTTCACTAGGCATTCGAATATTAATACACATGAATTTCATTTATTGATATGTATCCTGAAAAGGGGAATTTTAATTGCAGAAAAAGATGACCATAGAAAGATGGCCCTCACAGCAGTTTTTTTTCGAAATACCGTAAAGCATCAGAAATCCATTTGTGACCAGCCATTAGGAGAAGCTAAAAAAACAGTTATATATTCACCCAGTATAATCATTAAGATGATGAGTATGCAAATTACAATGCTTGTAAGAAAAATGCAAGCCACAAAGTCTAGTACATGGGGGATTACAGCCATGACATACAGGTACAGAAAGAAGAAACTGTTAGGATGCCAATCTCATGGTGTCTTAGTTCTTCTTCTCACACTTTTTTTTTTCTTCCTTTGGACCTACATATTTAGCCGTTAGGACAATGAAATTCCCAAGATGATCTCCCCTCCTGGGGTTCTTTTAATCCACTGGGAGCTCAGTTTGTTGAGAGTGACATATCCCCAAAGGAGTGCAGGGGATCACTTTTCTGTGCCTAGCAAAGCCTCTCGCTCCAGCCCAGCCACCTTGATGAACCCCAGACTCATAGTCTGAAGAACCACAGTGGCAAGTACACCTGGTTACTCAGTGCTGCTTCTGTGGCCCTGGGAACGGCTGGAACAGATGGCTGTCACTCAGTTGCGCCCTGGCCCCAAAGCAGCAGCCCTTGGCCATAGCACTGAGATACTCTCACCTCTGCTTGTCTCGTCCAGCACTTGGATGATTCTCGCGACCTCATGAACAAAGTGGTTTCCTAGAGAGGGGTTAACGTGAATAGCAGCTGCATCGCTGGCCCACCGACTGGGAACTTTAAACAGAGCAACCTCCTGATTGTGTTGGTTTGAACATGCTAAGTAAAAGTCCTGGAAGAGGTCGGAGGCCACTGTGGGATGGCAACGCATAAGCCCTCTGCAGCCTTTGCCCTCCAGAAGGGTCAGCAGCGCCACTTCCACTGCCCTGGTGTCAACGCGTGCTGCACTTGTCTTCTTATGAATGAGGAGCCTTCCTGTTTTTAACCCCAGTTAGAATAGCTTCTGCTTCCATTTGGGGCATGGTAGAGGGGAAAACCAGCCGGGTCCTCAACACACCAGTGCTTGACGGTGTCTGCTTCAGAGGGTTTTCTTTTTTGATTTTTTGGATTTTAGCCTTAATTTCTGTGACTGGAGACTAGCTATTCTTGTAGCTGCCCCATTCGCGGAGGAACGACACTAGACCCTGCGCTGTTCTTTTGTTTGCTCAGCCCTTCCCGGGTTAGCTGCTGTTCCCCCACTCGCGGAGGAACGACGCCGTCCTGGGTTAGCTGCCAGCCCCTCCACCTCCGTGGAGGGGCGGCACCCCCTCCCCCCCCCCCCCCGCTTTCCCCGCTTCTGTGGAGGAGTGGCACACCGCTGGCCGGCTTTTCTCGGAGGGGGGCTGCTCAGATGTTATCCAGATGTTCCTGGTGCATGTTGTCTCTCTCCTCCTTTATAGTCCTCTTCCACCAATCCCAACTCTGCTACCCACATGCCGAGCACGCTGCTCTCCTCCAATCAGGAGCAGGATCAGCTCCTGCAGCTTATCAAACTGATGAGGCAGCTGCGTAGAGGTTGTTTGCTCCCTCAGCACCATATTGTGGGAGAGCAGATGCATAGAATAAGTCTTAATTCTGGTAACTTAGTCTAGTCTCAGTTGCTCCCCACAATTCTTTTTTAAAAGATTTATTTTATTAACTTGAGAGGCATAGTTAGAGAGAGAGAAGGAGAGACATAGAGAGAGGTCTTCCGTCCGCTGGTTTCACTCTCCAAATGGCCACAACAGCTAGAACTGAGCCAATGCAGAGCCAGGAGCCAGGAGCTTCCTCCAGGTCTCCCATGCGGGTACAGAGGCTCCAGCACTTGGATCAACTTCTACTTCTTTCCCAGGCCATCAGCAGGGAGCTGGATCTGAAGCGGAGCAGCCGGGACTCAAACCGGCACCCGTATGGAATGCCAGCACACCAAGCAGATGCCTAAGCTACTTTGCCACAGCACCGGCTCCCTTTTTTTTTTCTTTTAAATATTTATTGTATTCATTTGAAAGGCAGAGGGGCTGACATTATGGTGTTAAGTGAGGTAAGGTGACACCTATAGCACCAGCATCCCATATGGGTGCCAGTTCAAGTCCTGGCTGGTCCACTTAGGATGCAGCTCTCTGCTAATGCACCTGGGAGAGGGGCAGAGGGTGTTCCAGGTGCTGGGGCCCCTGCAGCTACCTGAGAGACCCGGATGGAGTTCTAAGTTCCTGATTTCAGCCTGGCCATTGCAGCCATTTGGGGAGTGAACCAGTGGGAGGACGATCTCTCTCTCTCTCTCTCTCTCTCTCTCTCTCTGTGTGTGTGTGTGTGTGTGTCCCTCTCTGTGTAATTGTGACTTTCAAATAAATAAATATTTTAAAAAAGAAAGGCAGAGCCAGAGAGAGCAAGAGAGAGACCCCCCATCCCCTGGTTCACTCCTGAAATGGCCACAACAGCCAAGCTTGGGCCAGTTGGAAGCCAGGAGCCAGGAGCTTCGTCTGCTGGTTTGTAGGTCGCGCTGTTGAACAGATGTTTTGTTGTGGGTGGGAATCCAGAGCAGTAGAGGCATCTTATGCTTCCATTGCATCACAGAGGTATAAAACCAACAAACCAGCGCTCTGGGAGGAGCCTAGCAAAAGGGAAGGAGCTATTTAGCCAAGATTAACCTCAGCGTCACCTCACAGCTTTCCACAAGTAAGCCATCTTTCTTCCTGTTTTCATCAGGTAATTGCTTTGCTGGGTTTTGTATTTCTGAGTCGCCGTCACTTAGCCTTTCATGTGGGTGTTTATTCATCTCACTGGAAGAGCTTTAAGTCCTCTTTAAAAATTAATTTGACTTTAATGTCGAGTTATCTAAGACTCCCCTGGGCTGGGATGAAATCACAGGAGGAGGATTTGGATTTGACAAACGGCCACCCTACAGGTGGCTTTGATCCTCCACTGCGGTGTTAATCGGCCTGGCCTGGCGTTGTTGAGTTTCAAACAAGATCAAAGTGTGTGCACCCACAGGGCATTGTGGGTGGCCGGCCCTAGGAGGATGGGGCACTAACCCAGCATCTGTGGACTGCAGCGGTGGAAATGGGAGCCCTGCCACAGGTTTGTCCACCTAGAGAAACAGGACAAGGGTGGCTACAAACAGGGCAGGCTGGATTTGACTCCAGGACCTTGGAATTCCCAATCCTGGCTGCCCAATGTCTGACACTTGCTGAGTCTTTCCAAGGTTTTAAAAGTGACAAGGAAAAATTCATCTTCATTCACTTTTACTTTTTTTTAGAAAAGTACATAGAGTATGTGATAGAGAGTGGTTAGGAAGGTGGCAAGAACACAGGCCAGTGGCTACAAATCCTACGAAGTGTCGCCCTGATGATTAGGCGAATCTCTCGAAAGATAAAAATAAATGTCTTCAGTGCAGAAGAACAGATGTTGGCTTTAGGTCCTGACCTTGATCAGAGTTGTTCAAATGCACCTTGACTCCACTAGCAGGCTGTGCGTGCCAGCCTCTCCCAGAAGGCGGATGTGATACTGTCTAACTCTCCCCCTCTCCTCTCTCTCTCACAGATGGGGAGCTCTCCATATCAAATGAAGACGACTCCCTGGAAAACGGACAGTCCCTGAGCTCCAGCCAGCTGTCTCTGCCCGCCCTGTCCGAGATGGAGCCAGTCCCCATGCCCAGGGATCCCTGCTCATACGAGGTGCTCCAAGCTTCAGACATCATGGATGGGCCAGGTATGCCCTTGGCAGAGTTGAAAGGCAGGCCCCTAGAATGCGGCCCTGGGGACCTTTGCCCTGGCTGGACTTGGGATTCCATTTTGATCACCCTGATCCCAACAGTGTGGAAATTTGGATGAAGCTGATGTCATCATACTTTTTCATGTGTATTGAGTATTTTTTTAAAAAAAATAGAGAACATTTTCATGTCTTCTAGATTTTAAAATACTTTTCATAATCTTAATCTCTATAAAGAAGATTCAGCTTGTTTTTATGATGATCCAAATGCCATTATTTTGTTTTCTAACACTCCTCTCTGTTGAGATAAAACTAAAGAATCCTACATTTCTATTTGGTACCTATATGATTCCTTGGATGTGCATTTTAATCCTAGTCTCTGTGTTCTTGTTAGTGGTTATATCCATTTCCTAGATCCAGTTAAATGATTTCCCTGGCACTTGTATCAATGTATGGGTTAAATTAGATCCTACCAATAGGTAATAGCATTTGACCATCATTTCCCTCTTTAGTTCACTGGTGTCTTGAGTGGCCAGTATTCATCTCCAAGGGTTTGCAGAGTGGACCTAATTAGCCCGAAGGTGGGTTCCTCCCAACAGCTGCAGAGGAGCTGTAGCTCTTGTTGGAAACAAGTCGGGAAGGGACATCTTGAATGAACATCTGGTGTATGAGTAGAATGGCTGTGTCCTTTCTCTCCACCACCTGCAAAGCCCATGCACACTGGCACTTGCATGGGAGGAAGAGACAGATGGTGTTTGCAGAGTGAATCCTATGTGTCACTTGGGGACCTGGTGAGTCACTGCTCCATAAGTATGTCGTGGCTCTTGAGATGGGAGAGAAGTTGGAGCTCGTAAAGACTCTTTGCCAGGCTTTGATGCTGCCCAGAACACCAGTACCCAGACCAGGGAGGAGGCGAGAGGGCCACAGGAGCTGCCTTCTGTAGGCTGGTAGCAGGCGGGAGGATACCAAAGCAAGGAACATCCCCGCTCTAAGAGAGGTTTCAGGGAAAGTGAAGATTCTGTCTGGAAAATCCAGCCTTCCTTGTGACACTGGAATCAAGTGGATCTGACTGTTTTAGTGCAATCCATCACCCAGGAGAGGTCATGCTTTCAGCCTCTCATCACCTAAGCTAAAAAGAGGTGGGCCAGCACCTCGGACAGCTCACAGCTAGAGCTGATTGGGGTTCCCCAGGTGGAGAAGGAAGAGCTGGGGTCCAGTGTGCAGCAAGGAGGTGTGCGGAGGGTGAGAGTTGAAATGTGAAAAGCATTCTGCTGGCCAGCAGTGGAGAGCAAAGGGGGCAGATAAAGAGCACTGACTTGAAGCATCGTTTGCTGTGTCCAAGTGCCTAAGAGCTGGTGGCGGCATGATGGTATTGCCAAAGCCCCGGAGCCCCGGCTTGACGGCAGCTGCTCAACACTGACTGCTCCAGAACCTGGGCAGCAGCCACCCAACGCCTGAGGGTGCAGCCTGTCGAGTGTCAGCTCTGGGCTGGCCATAGTGCCTGGTGTCCCAGACCTGAGAGCAGGGACGGAACGAGACTCTGCGGGGAAAACTGACACTCTCCACTTGTTGGCTGCCAGACTCTCCTCCTGCCCAGCCAAGGGCACACAGCCCAAGCACAGGTTCTGGTTGCATTTGGAGAGCACTCCCCAGTCTTGATCTGTGCTACTCTTACAGCTGTGGTCCCTTTGAGATCCAGGAATTTGTGTGGTACAAGGCGAGTTTTAAATCATGACTTTTTGATGTTGAGAAAATGTCCTTTTCCTCATCCCACCTTGCCTCTCTTTGCTCCTCTTTCTCTCCCTCCATCTCTCTCTCCCTCCCTCCATGTCTCTCTCCCTTCCTCCCTCCCCTTCCCTCCCTCCCTCCATCTCTCTCCTTCCCTCCCTCCCTCCATGTCTCTCTCTCTCCCTCTCTCCCTCCCTCCTTCCCCTACCCTCCCTCCCTTCCTCTCCCTCTCCCTCTCTCCCTGCCTGCTTGATTGGATTTCTGGTGTCCTCCTTTAAACTCTCTGTGCATGCATGACCACGCGAGGCTGTCAGCTCTGCTGTGTCGCCAGCCACGTCCCCTGTGCGCTGTCCCTGGCTGCCTCCCGCTGCGTTTGTGTAATGTCAATGTGTCTCATGTGGTTGTCCCCTCAGTGTCTGAAGAGAGTCCCTCTGCCAGTGACTCTGGAGTCCTCCTGTCCCAAGATCCTTCAGCCAAACCAGTCCTGCTACTGCCCCCCAAAAAACCCGCTGCTTTTTCTGGAGACCATGAGGAGACCCCAGTGAAGCAGCTGCCCCTTCTCAAGCAACCCCCGGCCCTGCCTCCCAAACCCACTGCCAGGATGGCCAGCCATTTAACAGGTGAGTCCAGCCGGCTTCTGGGGCGTGCGGCCCCTCCTTCCCTTCAAGGGATGATCTCGCTCTTCCTCTCTTGATCTTTGTATCTGAGGCCGGGATCTGCCCCTCGGGTCTGTGGGATGCTGGGCGTTTCTGTGTGTGTCTTGGTACATGCAGCCATCCCAGAGATGTGCTTTTTGTGTCACGAAGCGTTTGATATACATACATCTGCTAGCCACGTGCCAAGAGCCTCCAGTCTGTGTATCTGTAAATGTGTTTATTATATTGATGTAACTAATTCATGATGATGTGGCCATCTCGCTGACTTTGGCGCAATATCAAAAGCTTTGCAAAGATTTTTAAAAAAAATTGTGCCTTCTTCCTGCAGAATGAATTTGCCACAGCTTCAAATTTTTACGTTATTGATCTCAAGTGTAGGGGTGGTTCTATTAAAATGCATTTATTTCAGTATTGTTTGCTCTCAAAAAATTGAAGAAAAAAAGGGAAGACAGTAATAATCTGCAGAATGTGTGGGAAATAACTTTTAGAATAGTTTAGCGATGGCGTCCTATGGGTTCGTGCTGAAGGTCTTCCTAAATGAGCATACCCACGGTTATGAAGTGGGCATCCAATGGATCTGCATTTCACTGCACGCTGGCCCCGGGCATCAGATCCTTCTCTGTGATTTCAGGTAGAGGGATAATCGGAGATGCAAAGATTGCAGAGGGAACTTTCGTAAGGATCCCAGCTGATGGACAATGTATTTGGTATTTTTATACAGAATATCTAATAGCTCTCATAGCATTTTGTATAATATAATAGTGGTGGAATTAGGGACCCATATTCACCTGTTTTGTAATAGAAATACTGAGGTTCAGGGACAAGAAGTGACTTTCCAGGACTGGGAAGAAGTAATTCTGTAGTAGAGGCACAGTTAAACCCTGAGTTTCCCAGCTCCGAGTGTGATGTTTCCATAACTGCAGGGTGTTTTTCCCACGGTGCTGAGTTGTAGTGGATTCTAGCTTGGGCTCTGGCTGCTGTCAAACTACTAATATGGGCCGGCGCCGCGGCTCACTAGGCTAATCCTCCGCCTTGCGGCGCCGGCACACCGGGTTCTAGTCCCGGTTGGGGCGCCGGATTCTATCCCGGTTGCCCCTCTTCCAGGCCAGCTCTCTGCTATGGCCTGGGAGTGCAGTGGAGGATGGCCCAAGTGCTTGGGCCCTGCACCCCATGGGAGACCAGGAGAAGTACCTGGCTCCTGCCATTGGATCAGCGCGGTGCGCCGGCCGCAGTGCGCCGGCCATTGAAGGATGAACCAACAGCAAAAGGAAGACCTTTCTCTCTGTCTCTCTCTCTCACTGTCCACTCTGCCTGTCAAAGTAAATAAATAAATAACTAAATAAACAAACAAACAACTAATATGTCAGCGTACTTCAGAAAGTTCTTGGAAAACTCAAATGAGAAGATAAATTTATTTGGGTGCAAAAACTTTTGAAGTCCCTGCATACAAGGAAAGCTTCTTCAAAAAGGTCTTGCAAGTACATATTATAGAAAAACTGTGCATGGGTTTCTTTTGGTACCCAAACAAGCTTATCTCTTAATTCTGTGTCTCCACAGATTTTTTGAGGTATCCTCATATATGCCCATCTGAATAAGATGGTTTGAAAAAGCAAATTTTGTTTTGAACTCTATCCTGGTCTCCCACCCAGAGAAATATCAGGGGCCCAAGCACTTGGGCCATTTGTTACTGCTTTCCCAGGCATATCAGCAGGGAGCTGGATCAGAAATAGAGCAGCCAGGGTTCAAACCAGCATTCATATGGGATGCCGGCATCAAAGGAGGCAATTTAACCTACTGCAGCACAACACCTGCCCCAAAAGAACAAATTTCAGTCTAAATTCTAAAGGAACCACATCAGTAACATGTTAATTCAGTGCCTAGAAATTTAAATAACAGAAAACACCTCCTACGCCCCTTCTAAGAGATGTCCACTATTCACCTAAGAGTAATCAAATATTGCCCGACCTGTTGTTTCATCGCCTGCTTTATGCACTTAGCAATGTGTTGTGAAGTGCCTCTCATGTCTGTAAACATCCTGTAATGTTATTTTTTAGCTGCTTGCATAGATCAGGATTTACTTGGTTGACCCCTTTGGGTTTTTCCTTCTTCTCTGTTGTAAAACACAGCAGACATCCACGGCAACCTGCATATATCTTTAGAAGCATCTCTGGGTTTTTCCTCATTTATTTCTAGAATTAGAATTGCTGTGTCAAAGGCTCCGTATCTTAGAAGGCTTTGTTGCCAAATCTCCCATAGGAAAGATGAAATACTGTGAAAAATATATTTCTGTGTGTAGTAAATAGTAATCAACATACCTATTGTCAACAGAATTCTGTGGGAAGTATCAGAGTGGGTTCAAATATATGACAGCTTAATGACTGTATATACAGTTAAATGTATGTATTGCATTATGCAAGGAGGGTAGTCAAGAAGTTCATATAAAATGTATATTATAAAAAAACTATGCATGAGTTTGAAAAGTTTTTTGCACCTTTTAATTCCCATGTTCCACAAACTTTTTAAATTCATTCATAAGGAGAGTGCTAGAATAACTCCTGTTAGAATAATGCATACTGTAATAAAGCCTAGTAAAGTGGTTATTAAAGAAGGCTGAGGGCTCGGCGCTGTGGCATAGCAGGTAAAGACCGCCGCCTGCAGTGCTGGTATCCCACATGGGTACTGATTCAAGCCCCAACTGCTCCACTTCCGATCCAGCTCTCTGCTATGGCCTGGGAAAGCAAAAGAAGATGACCCAAGTCCTTGGACCCCTGCACCAGCATGGGAAACCTGGAAGAAGCTCCTGGCTCCCAGCTTTGGATCAGCCCAGCTCTAGCCATTGCAGCCATTCTCTGCTGCTTTCCCAGACACATTAGCTGGGAGCTGGATCAGAACAGAGCATCCAGGACTCCAGCCCTCTGGGGTGGATGCTGGCATCGCAATGGCAGCTTAGATCACTGTGCCACAGTGCTGGCTGGAAAGCCATGATTTCTTTTTTTTTAACATTTATTTATTTATTTGAAAGTCAGAGTTACACAGAGAGAGGAGAGGCAGAGAGAGAGAGAGAGAGGGGTCTCCCATCTGCTGGTTCATTCCCCAATTGGCTGCAACGGCTGGAGCTGTGTTGATATGAAGCCGGGAGCCAGGCGCTTCTTCCGGGTCTCCCATGTGGGTGCAGGGCCCCAAGGACTTGGGCCATCTTCTACTGCTTTCCCAGGCCATAGCAGAGAGCTGGATCTGAAGTAGAGCAGCCGGGTCTCAAATCGGTGCCCATATGGGATGCTGGTGCTTCAGGCCAGAGCATTAACCCGCTGCGCCACAGTGCCGGCCCCACCAGGATTTCCTAAGTATCACCATCCTCTAATTCATCTAGTGATCTCATTAATGAAGCATATTTGAGCTTCAACCATAAACCCTGGAGCCTGGATGGCCTGGTATCCCCAGGACTCTATATATGAAATACTGAAGGTGCCTAAATTACCCAGTCACTCTGGCTGCCCTGGGCCTTTCTCAAGGGAGTGGACTGTGTTAACCTGTAAACTGCCCCTCCATATAGCTTGGCTCAGATGCAGAAAGTCACAAAAGGTATACCTTTACCATATGTTATCTGGTAGTCTTAAATATGATAAGATAAGTAGCGATGCCTATGGACAATGAGGATTATGCTATCCTATGGAGCTTAAATTCAGCTTAAGCTGCTTAATTTTCATAAGTGAGTCATCAAGTATAATGCATCTTCACCACCACGAGGCAGCAGCATTAACCCTGGTCTGCTGCTAATTGCTCTGGAGACATCTGGGCCATGTCAGAAGGCATTAATAAACCATGGGTTGCAGAACTGTAATTGGAGACTTTGGAGTTGGAAGTATGTTCTCAGTGTCTTCTGCAGCTCCCTCGACATGTTTGGAAGGAAATAGAACAGTGGAAAGACACTAAGCATGATTAATAGGGAGTGACAGGAGGAAATGGTCTGGCGAAGGGCTGGAGAAATACAAGCCTTCTGTGTGCACGGTCAGGGAAAGACACGCAGAAAAGTCTCTACTCTGGCATTCGCTTCCATGTTATCAGGAAAATCCTAATTAACGTGGAGATTATTTTGTCTTACGAATTTTCTCTGGTCTTCAGCCAGAGAGGCTCTCCCTGTGATGTCATCCTCTTCCCCAACATCATCGTCCCTGCACCGTGGCATCTCGCACGGGGTCAGGAGTTGTCCAGCACTGGGTTCCTGCCTTTCTGGAAGTGTGGTGTCCAACAGAGCAGGCTGTGTTATCAATGTGATCTGAGGTGAACAGTTCTCAAAATGCATCCGTTTGGGAATGATGGATTACCCTAAAAGCCTGTCTCCTAACTTTCTAAGTCTTCATCAGTTAGCCCTTCAGGTATCCTGGTTCTGGAAAACAAATGTGTCACACGGCGTGAGTAGCCCATGCCTTCTGCACAGGGAGCCTGAAACAGGCACCGTGTCTACCAGCTGAGTAGAGGACAGTCAGCTTCAGTGGCAGGTGCACTTCACAGTCTGCCATTCACACTTGGCTGATCACAATGGTAGCCAACACTTCCTGAGGCATTGACCAAGTACCATGTATTCCCGTGAGGCAGATACCATGTCATTCTTACCTCCTTTATTCAGGGGATGAACATGACTCCGGAGAAGTTAAATTGCTTGGCCATGGTTACTTAGCTAGTAAGTGACAGAGGAGAATATGAACCCATTTTGATGCCAGAATCCTCATTTACAGCCAATAATCCAGACCATCTCCATCTACCAAGGTGCCTATTCCAAAAACAATTTTTTTTAATTCATCAACTTGATTATTTTTACAGCTGATATTAGTCTGCTTGGGCATCAAAAATAAAATAACACAGACCAGGTAGCTTGTATAATAGAAATTTACCTGCTCACAGTTCTGGAGGCTGGAAAGCCCAAGGCCAAGGTCTTGCAGTGTTGAACTTGTGGGAGGGCTCTC